TGGAAGGGAAGGAAAAAATGGGAATAAAATTATTTGATTTTTGAATGACTCTTATCAAGTGGCTTTAGCTCTATTTGTGTATTTAGCTCTATGCTTAGTCCAGTAAAATCTATCAAATATCTCACCATATCGGAAAACCAACCAAATCAGAAATATTTACAACACATTGAAAACCAATTCAACGTACCGAACGTATTACTGATCGTAACATATATTATATTATATTAATATGATATATAGAATAAGACGACCAACGGAACTAAACTAGTGCTTTGACATCGCTTCTTCTTTTTCCACCCATTCCAACTAATGAAGATCACTTGAACATTGGATTGTACTAGTTTTTAATTCTGAATAAATATTGCCAATCCTTTTTAATTTATTTGTTTTTGTACAGATAAATCGCATGCGTTGCTGTATAAACTAAACGCGTTCAAAACACACTCAACGCACGTTGAGTACAAATAATATTTGCAAAATTCTGAAATGGGCACACTATGAATGGCATGAACACTAGGGTTTTAAACTATTAAATACTATACTATTATGTATTCACACGAAGCTGCGTATGCGAATGTTTAGATTTGTAGAAAAAACAAATAAGATCGAAAAAAGAAATTGGCAATATTTATTCAGGCTTAAAATCTAGTACAATTCAATGTTAAGGTGATCTTCATTAGTTGGGTGGAAAAAGAAGAATCGATGTCAAGGAATTAGTTCAGTCCCATTGGTCATCTGGTTCTATATAGGTTATAATCAGTAATACGTTCGGTACGTTGAACTGATTTTCAATATGCTGTAAATATGAGTGATTTGGTTCAACCGTCTCCTTTAAAATTCATCACCTGATGCTGCTATGACCTTTGGACAATTTCTCTCGGCTAATATTCGATAAAGGTTTGTCGGTTGTGATTTCAATATTTTCTGACGATGCGTGGCATAGTTGTGAAAATGAACTGCAAACGAATCCTGGACCTTGTGCAGTAATTCTTCGATTTTTTTCGAATTGGTTTCAAAAATATCATTCAGATGCGTATGATGAATCGGATAAAAAGCGGGTGGATTATAAATTTTTAAGCCCCAACATAGTTCTGGCTTCACGTTGGTGAAAGATTTCGATCGACAAATTTTCTGTAGAACATTTGTCATCAAAGTTGGTCCGTTGGCATACCAAACTTCGGTCGTGTAATGTTCCGTGAAATTTCTGTTTTTAAAAAAATTGACATATTTGAAAATGCTCAATGAAAAAAATACACAAATAGAGAATTAACCAACCTTAGAAACAATTCAACAATTTTGTGACCGACATCTCTCGATTCAAAGCCATAAAATGAATTTTGTATTTCTTTATCGTCTTGCGCACCGATAAAATTGGGTGGAAACTGTTCAAATGTTGATTTAACGATAAAATCCAAGTCTATATGAATTCCACCGAATTTGTAGAGAGCCAAAAGCCTAAGAAAGTCCGACAAATGACCCATGAAATGTATTGTTGTGAGCATTTTATCTTTTTTCACCCATTCTTCGGCTGGTGTACCAACGGAAAATTTATACCAATCCACGTTGCGATACTGAATGTTCGAGTACGTTGACAATGCTTTCACTAATGGTGAATTGATCTGTCCATTTGAAGGCAAGCCCACAGGTGAAGTGAACAATACAAAAATATCACGGTTCGGATTCCACATTGCAGTCGATTCGATGGCACATGCTTGTCTACACAAAAGCAACAATTAAAATGAAATCAATGCGGAGGTTAGTTAAACTACTCGAACGAGCAAACAGTCGATTACCTCGGAGTAAATGACACGATCCCATTTTTACACGATGTGTCCTGGAAAAATATCGTTCTATCAAGTTTCGGTGGTGATGTCATTATATCGTCAAGAAGTTTCACTTCTTTGCCCATTTTCTTCATTTCATAACATTTTCTCACTGCTTCGATTTGCTTCAACTCACGCTCGGTGTACGGACTCCTTGCACGTAAAAACAAGAATAAACACAATAAAATCCCAATCAATACGATAGTAAAGGATCTACATAAATGCAATCGCTGGGCTAGATTCATTTTGATCAATTCCCGACAAAATTCAAATCCACCTTAATGGTGTGAGCTTGGTGAAGTTATTATATAGCTGAACTCTGAATTTATTCAGATTGTTTATCATAAACAATCAATTAAATTATGCGACATAGTTTCAATTAATTTTTGCCCAATTCTAAAATGGGCCATGACTGTACTGTAAATAATCGCAGATTTATATAAACAAGGAGATCTGGCGAGAACAGATATTTATGTCGATTTAACACTAGGAGCCATTTAAATTCGCACGAAGCTGCGTATGCGAATTTTCAGATTTGTAGAACAAACACAAATAAAATCGAAAAAAGAAATTGGCAATATTTATTCAGGCCTAAAAACTAGTACAATTCAATGTTCAGGTAATCTTCATTAGTTGAAATGGGTGGCAAAAGTAGAATCGGTGTCAAAGTATTAATTCAGTCCCGTTGGTCATTGCACTATTTTTAATAACAAAATGCAGTACAATTTATCTGTGTTAGTTGTACAGAATCCGTAAAGTGTCATATATTATATGAGTGGTTTGGAGCGAAAATGTGATACAGAAAATTTGCGAGGAAAATTATCAGATGAAATA